GTTAACGAACGGAATAACCATTATCGCTTTAATTACAACTAAATATACATTCCGCTTTCAACAAATCTTTCATTAAGCTTGTATACTTGCGCAAATTGATATTTCCGTATGTAATTCTAGTCGAGGAATAGTACATACGCGATAATATTTCCGCGAAAAGCAAGAATAATTCGTCAGCAATGCATTCGCTAGAAAATTTAGATATTAATTTTTTTAGTTGATTAGAGATTCATGAGATTATATAAAACCTCTAAACACGAAGTTGATTGGGGATTATACGTGCGCATGACTCTCAACAGAAGATGCAACAGTTGATCAACAAGTGGGTTTTATGAGCTAATACACACAAAAAGCATCCCCATAAAATTAAAATTACTTAAAACTGACTCATAAGAACGACCGGAGTCTCGTAGCGAGAGTTTTTCAATGAGTATTTTAATTTTCCGAACTGGTCGACGACTAAAACGCTAAAAAACTGTGATCCTTACGTACGCAAATGAATCTAGTCCAACATAAAACTCGAATCATGACGATCGCATCATAATTCGATTGACATACGCTTATTTTTTATCATTTTATTTCTCCTCTTTTCACACAATCTGATGAGCAGTATTAAGATAACTATAATTAGCTGATGTACCCTGGCATTAATTTCTATTTATAATACTGTACATTCTACACCGATTTTTCATTGCGATATCACCAATTTTTTAATATTCAATAAGCAACCGTGCAAGATGCCGAAGTTAACAGAGAATGAAAGGTAGATTTTTTTTATACTCAACTGAGGACTCACCCATACTCAATCTGTATATTTTTACATAATCAATATAGCACTGAATATGTCAAGACCCTTGAAAAAAAAATTGAAGGGATTGTAATAATGGAAGCATGTGCGTGATAGAAAAAAGTAAAATAGTTAAAGGAGAAAGATAAATTACTAATCATAATTGATAAAAGATCATTTGACTGTCATCTTCGGCAGTTCAATTATTATACTATTATTATAAATTGTAGAATGATATAATCCAAAAATAGGGAAATTATGGGCCAGGACGGAAGGATCGAAGGACGTTATGATCTTTCAATGATTCTAAAATTCCAAGGTTGAAACAAAGAGATTAAGCAATGTAATATGAAGCAATTGAATGAAAAAAAAATGAAGATAAATAACTGTACACAATAGATCGATAAGTGAGCGTATGAGTGAGAGTGTGAGAAGTGAGGTTTTAGCATATCAGTGTGTTGAGCTTAGGGAGGCACACACAGGATGATATAAATAATTGATTAAATAACTAAATAAATGAATGAGTGAATTTACTGAATGTACATACATTCAATCTACAGAATTTTACGAGAAAAATTGATTTTTCTAATTTTCCACTCGTGTAACTACAATTTGTTTAATTTTTCTGTAGCTTGATGCTTCAAAACGACCTAGTGCCACGAAATTGAAACATGAAAAATGGAGATATTGATATTTATTTGAAAAATACAAGTGTCTAAATCATGAAACGTTAAATCAAACTTAACATTTTGTTAAAAATTACAAAAAGGGTCTCTTGATATTAAAAAATCTCTGAGATTTGATCCATAACGTTTTATCAATTCCCTGAGAATTCTAGTCGATTCAATACTCTGATATTGATTTTAAAATTTTTTAATGAACAAATGAGAACTGCGACCGAGTTACAGCGAGCAATTAAAACCAAATGTTTCGACTACGAAAGAAAAATCTTTTTACTTTACGATTGATTGTTTAAAACCTATATAATTGCAATGAATACGGTTGAAAGTGCGTTGTGCGACAATACGATGTTATATCTCCGAATTTTTGAATTGCGTGGATTTACGATGGAAAATGTCCCCCCCCCCCTATTATTGCAATTATATTTAATGAAAAAATGAAGTAATTAGGTAGATTTATTACTATTGATATAAACAATACACGAAAAAACCAAAATGATAAGGGGAAAATACACAGTAATATGCTAAACAATGAGTAAATAATTGCAGTAATTATCACTCAGACACTTACGTTAGCAGGCTAGATAACAATCTTTAACATAATACAAGAGATTTTTCATGTGATTATTTTAACTAATGGGATGATGTATCAGTTGATTGACAGTTTGAACGATTAAAAATAAATTGAAAATGAAAAATAGAAGAATCAATTGCGTGTTGGCAAAGCGTTTGATCTCTCCCTTGAATTTTACTTTCTTCACGCCTTATGAATCGTCGTTTTTTCATTAATAAAAAAGAAAGCACATTACGCTTGTCGTCACTTTGGACGGCAGCAGGAAATAAAAAATTAATAAAAAAAAAATAAATAACACGCGAACGAGGGATTCGTTCACAAACGTCAAACATTGAAAGTAAATCGTTAAAAGGGGAAAAGGACGTACGGGCGGAGCACGCGACGCGATCGTTGCAATTTTTCTATTAATTCCCATTTTTTCTATTTCCTTTTTTATAATCACAGAGTCCTAGGGAAGTGGATGCTCCGTTGGTGGAAACTAACGATGCAATAGTTACTTCTAGTTTTCAATAAATGAGAGTTGACGTGTGAATCGAGGAAGAAATTGAAAGAATAAAGAAATGAAGAAAAATCAAATGAGTAAATGAATTGGAATGAGTAAGACGTGCAATGTTCGTACGTTCGTGTAAGCGCAATCGCATCCCAATTTCGGCAAGCTTTTTTGTGAACAACTAAGACGAGAAGTATTCTCTGTACGACGTACCTTATTTCACACTGATAACAAATCAAGAGTAAAATAAAATGAAATGACACTCGCATACAGACTACATGAGAAATAAAAGAGCAAATATGGAATGATGATGGATAAATTAATTATTAAAGAAAATGAGAAAACACTTAGTTAGTACGAACATGGCCACTAGGAGCGAATGTACCATTCGGATAGTTTTATCATTAAAAATGAAGAAAAAATAATGAAAAAACGGTAATCATTATAGATATATTAACGACATTATTTCTATTACACATATTATATAAAAATAAAGAATAAACTGATACTAACATTTGTAGGGAGAAAATGAGGATAAAGAGGAATTTTTTGTCAAGGGATTAACTAATCTATATATGCGTCCAAGTGTGATGCGAGCATAGGGAATATACGCCACGTTTTTTTTCGCGATAATGACAGAGCCGGCGAGTTGCGATGAAATTGACGAGAGATAACGGAAGAATTCATTCAGGGCGGAATGAAAGCCAAACACGGGGGGGAAAAGATATGAAACTGAGCGAGTTAAAGTGAAAATGATGAAAAAATAAATAAATAAAAGATACAATGCGCCAATTACTTCAACTTCGACAGTAACTTTTATTTGTGTGCCGAACGATTCTGCCGTTTTCAGCGCGACATATTTTGGAAATTCTTTGGTGATCAATGATTGATTGATCGCTTTCAAAGAAATGAAAATAAATAAAAATAATAAAAAAAAATACATTAACAAACAGAAGTTTCTATACTTTTTACGGAGATTGTTATAGTCTAAGCGCACACTGATCAAGGCATTCGTCGCTCGGCAAAGCATAATATAATTATTAATATAAAATTTATAACAGAAATAAAATAAATGAAGTTAATAAATATGTACACTGTATAATAAACATTATTTCCTATTAATAATTCATGAGTTTTTATTGTCGATATCCTGATATTTGGATTCTAGTAGAGGTTATCCTCAGAATAATAGAAGAAACATTGGTTTCAGATAATTAATTTTTTTTAAATTAATTTCATTTATTTTACTGCTGAGTAGGAAAATTTTCCTTCCTGTCTAAAATTTAATTCATCGCATACTTGGGGCTGTAAATATAACTCACCAATTATCCGCCAGCCGATGAACAGGATTCAGAAACAGGGCAGGCGGGATAACTGATTCATTGCCGGTATTACTGCAGGTAAGGTAGGTTATCACTTTATTTCTTGAAGTCACTTCACTTCACAATTCACTCTTTAATTAATAATTCAGTTTTATTTATAAAATATTTCAAATTACACATGTATACAATAAGTAAAGCCACTAGTTAGAACCGCACTTCGACTTCCAATTTAAGACTCTAAACACGAGTATTTACTTTAATTAATTTGTTCCAAATCACCAGCACAATCGTTATTGTGTGCAATTAGTTTGACAATCAGGAGAGAAGGATGAGAGAAAGAGGTTGGGAAATTAAAAAATTGAAAGCTATAAAACATCATCTTTTTGAATCAGAGACAGTGCATAAAAATCTCTATTCAACATTTTGCTTCGAATTGCGTTTGACATTGAACAATTCTTTTCATCATACAAGACAAATCCTCTTTCTCTGATCCATCCTCCATGAAGTCCAGGTATTAACTGACCGTCACCGTAAGTGCTCCTCTTTATATCCTCTCGTTGGATCGCATCAGCCAATCAGAAGTAAGATAGACGCGAGCCAATGAGAATGCATCTGTGTTTTATTCACAAAATTTTGCGGGTGTTCGCTTTTCAATAATTTTTTCCATCACGAGGAATAAAATTCTCTTCCCGATCCACTTCCCATGAGATTCAGAGATCAACTGACCACCCACTGCAATTCTCCTCTTTATATACTCATCTTGGTATAGCATCAGCCAATCAAAAATGCAACAGGAGCGAACCAATGAGAATTCATCTCCGCTCCCATTACAAAATTTACAATTTTCCCTTGAGTTCTAATCAGTTTTTCACGTTAGAAAGTGATTATTTGCCCCGAAAAGGACCGATTGTTTAATTAGTGATGACTAATCATCATCGCGAATTTGGAATTCACTTCTTCTGGGCAGTTTTCTTGGCCTTGGGTGAAGCAGACGTCTTTGGCTTAGAAACTTTGGGCTTGACAGTGGGACAAAATTTACAATTTTCCTTGAGTTCTAATTAGTTTTTCACGTTAGAAAATAATTATTGGCCCTGAAAAGGGCCGATTGTTTAATTAGCGATGACTAATCATCATCACGAACTCGGAATTCACATCTTCTGGGTAGTTTTCTTGACTTTAGGCGAAGCAGACGTCTTCGGCTTGGGAACTTTGGGCTTGGCAGTGGGTCCCTTGGTGGTCTTCTTCGCTTTGGATGGACTGGCGCTCTTGCTCCTATCAGCCTTGGGTTTCCCGATCTTCTTATCCCCAGCAGGTTGCATTGCTTTCTTCGGAGACGCCTTCTTCGACTGACCGTCAGCCTCCGCCTTCTTTCCTGCAGGTCGTCCCTTCCCAGCCTTCTTCGGAGATCCATTGACGACTTTGGGTTTGGGTTTAGCCTTGCCAGCGTCTTTGGGCAGTTTGAATGATCCCGTAGCACCCTTTCCCTTGGTCTGGATGATGGTTTCAGACTCAACCGCCGCCTTCAGGTACTTCTTGATGTATGGAGCGAGTCTCTCAGTGTCCGCGTGGTAGGTCTCAATCATGTACTTTTTGATGGCGTGGAGGGATGATCCTTTGCGATCATCAAGAGTCTTGATGGCTGAGAACACCATTTCGGATGTGCTGGGATGACTCGGCTTGGGCTTCGGATCCTTCGTGACTTTCTTCACTGCTGAAGCGGCCACCGGAGACGTCACTTCCGCCATTCCAACGTTGAAAATCGGAGCTCTTTATTTGTGGAGATGATTTTATAACTGCAAATGAATCCAGGGAGATTTATTCGACTGAATGATTTATGGCGGTTGAGCCCTCTTTATTTTTGATATCCGGACCATGGAGAGAGCCTAAATCGTTTAAACGCGTTAATTTCAGTTTCTTTGGTTTGGAACGTTACTTTTCTTGAGTATTTCCACGTTTTTCAAGACGTCTCGTCACAATTTGATTGGTTCTTTGGAATATGCTTGAAGTTGTATCCCAATTATTATTATCAGTCTATTTTTAACGTGAATGAGAAAAGATTCGTCCGTCATAACGAGTTTTTAATGTTGAGGTTGGAGTTACTTTTAAAAATTCGTAAATTAAAAAATCACATGTTAACGATTCTATTTAACTTTGCACAGACAATTACGAATGTTCCGGAAATTGATACGGAATAAATAATTTCAAGGATAAGACTTTTCCTGTCGAGATACTTAATGCAAAATTTTTGAGAAAATTAAATCAATTAATGGTTAAATTTTGTCTAGTCAAAAAACGAAACACCTGACTAAAATATGAAAACTGCTATTGAAGGTGTTAAACTTGCTTCATAAAAAATTGTTTTTTACTCTAGTGAGAACGATTTATTTTTCAATGAGATGCCTCCTTAATAAATAAAATTGTTTAAAAATAAATAAATTGTTGAAATTAATCTCAGCGTAATGAGAATGACCAACGTATTAAAGATTGGTGGCCCTGAAAAGGGCCGATTTTATTTTTGAATGTTAACCAGATTACTTGGAACTGGTGTACTTGGTGACAGCTTTAGTGCCTTCAGAAACAGCGTGCTTAGCCAACTCTCCTGGAAGAAGAAGACGAACAGCAGTCTGAATTTCCCGAGAGGTGATGGTTGAACGTTTGTTGTAGTGGGCCAATCGTGAGGCTTCAGCTGCAATTCGTTCGAAGATGTCGTTAACGAATGAATTCATAATGCTCATGGCCTTGCTGGAAACTCCAGTGTCGGGGTGAACTTGTTTCAGGACCTTGTAAATGTAGATTGCGTAACTCTCCTTCCTCTTACGCTTCTTCTTCTTATCGGTCTTGGTTATGTTCTTCTGGGCCTTTCCAGCCTTCTTCATGGCTTTACCGCTAGCTTTGGGTGGCATAGTGTTGAAAGTACAGTTGTTACAGGTCGGAGAGCTCTGTAAAATTGTGACTGCCTATGGAACGCCGTTATTATAACAGCACTGGCGCTTACGCCGCCGAGCCAATCAGGTGAGACGCACAGCCTGCGATGTTCCCATTGGCTCGGCGGCGGGAGCGTATGAAGCTATAAAGAGGAGTATTCGGAATTTCAACGCACTCTTCATTGATCTTTTAGGGACTCAACGTTGAATTAAATTTTTTACAAAATGTCAGGACGCGGCAAAGGTGGAAAGGTTAAGGGAAAGTCCAAGACTCGCTCTACCAGGGCTGGCCTTCAGTTCCCAGTGGGTCGTATTCATCGTCTCCTGCGTAAAGGGAACTACGCAGAGCGTGTAGGTGCTGGAGCTCCAGTTTACTTGGCTGCAGTTATGGAATATCTAGCTGCTGAGGTTCTCGAGTTGGCAGGCAATGCTGCTCGTGACAACAAGAAGACTAGGATCATCCCTAGGCATCTGCAATTGGCCATCCGTAACGATGAGGAGTTGAACAAACTGTTGTCTGGAGTTACAATTGCACAGGGTGGAGTGCTCCCGAATATCCAGGCTGTTCTTCTCCCCAAGAAAACTGAGAAAAGCAGTTCTTAGATCCACTGAACATTAAAACCATCGGCCCTTTTCAGGGCCACCAAAAACTTTTACGAAGGAATATTTAATTGCTATGAAATCTTGCTTAATAATTTCCGTACAAATTGCGTATGAATTCACTTGTGGTTTTAACAAATTATAAAATTTCACGATATATTGGGAATGACTGACATCAAATGGAAAATTTTCGACAAATAAGGATACGATAAGTACTTTATGACTACATGATTTTTCCAGTCTATTTTTCTTCTTTTTCCGACAAAAAGAAATTAACAAAAAAAATGGAAAAAGGTGAACATAAGAATTTCTACAAAAAATATCTTAATGGAATACATTGCATCGAATAAGTTGTAGAAAAATCGAATTATACGGATTTTTTCTATAGAATATTCTCCATCGATGATTTATAAAATAAATGAAAAATACAAAAATGCTTTTAAAAAAACGCGCAAATAGGTGCAAAATTTTGGCATTGAAGTCAATAGAATTTTCTAACGAATCCGCTACCAGTTTCTATAAAAAAATTTGTGCCTCCAATGCGTTGTCTTAAATTCTCTCACTTCGAGGTACAAAAATTGTGCCCACAATATCCATTTGATTATGAGTGAGCCCTAATGAATGCATCTCCTACATTTAATATTCCATAATTGTTAAAAAAAAAAGATTTACAATGAATAAATTCTGCACTATATACATCGCGATGATAAACCCATTCTTTTCAACACATGTTCCGATGTACCTTCCCTGTATCACTCAATCAAGCCAGCCTGCAATAGCACAGGAATCCAAATAAGTTAACTGTGCCAAAAAAATTGCGACTACCAAAAAAATTATGATTATTGAAATTCTATCTTCTCGTAAACATTAGCCGACTTAATAATATTATACGCAGTAGCCCTCAGAGATCCGCCCTCCAATCTGATCTGACTCCACACATTAATCCTTCAAAATTACGCACTGGCTGTAATATTTCATGAGAAATTTTGTATTCCGTGCATCCATTAATGTTTACAGTATCTGATACGAATCCGAAAACTTCGAAATTACATTAATTATTTATTATATCGAAGTTTAAACGCAACGTTACCCCAGATACAGAAAGCACGCGATGAGTATTACGAGTGCTTATCCATCGTTCTCTAATCCTATTAATCGCGAGTTAAATTCTCCAGACCAGCTATACATTCACAAATATCGGTAAATGTCCACAAGCGTAGTATAGTCCTCATAACATCCTTAAAAAAATTAAAATATCGACAGCGAGGCACCATTTGAAGCATTGTGTCGTCGCACTCACGGCGTTCGAGATGCCGGGCCTCTCTCCACGGTCCGCGCTCGCTGGTCACTTCCAGCGCTGAGGTGTTTAAACTTATCAAAGCAATCCCGTTCAACGGAAAGATTCTCGAATCGTCTACATAGAAGCCACGATGACTGACAAAGTTGCATCACCAGTAGTTGCTTCGGCAACGGGTTCTCCTGCTCCCGCTAAAGCAGAGGTTGCTAAGAAAGCAACCAAGGCGAAAAATCCAAAGCCTAAACCAACTCATCCCAGCACCGCTGACATGGTCAATACCGCTGTAAAGACCCTCGCCGAGCGTAACGGATCATCCCTGCAGGCTATCAAGAAGTACATCGCTGCAAACTATAAGATCGACACTACGAAGGCCGCACTCTTCATCAAGAAGTACCTGAAGTCCGCAGTTGCTGCTGGGACTCTTGTGCAAACGAAAGGAAGTGGCGCCTCTGGATCGTTTAAGCTTCCAGTGAAAAGCGACGCTGCGAAGCCGAAGTCCAAGCCAATGGCTGCCAAGAAGGAAGGACCGTCGAAGAAGGCTGCTCTCAAGAAACCCGCGAAGAAGGTGGAGGCTGCGAAGCCCATGGTGAAGAAAGCGGCTTCTGCTAAGAAAGCTTCAGCGAAGAAACCGGCTGCTGAGAAGGCCGCCAAGCCAAAAGTAGCAAAAGCTGCCGGAAACCCAAAGAGTCCGAAGGCAAAGAAGGCCACTAAAGGACCGACTGCTAAGCCCAAGGCACCCAAACCGAGGAAGGCTGCTCCTTCCAAGGCCAAAGCAGCGGCGAAGAAGTGAATTGAACGTCGTAATTCAATTCAACTGTAATTCAAACCAAACGGCCCTTTTCAGGGCCAATAATTATTTACAAACGTACAAATACTCAATTATTAGCGAAATTCCAATGCAAATATTTTCTTCCAGTATTTTTGAGTCCTAACAATGCATTAGAAAAAATGTATAATATATTATAGTATAAGAAATTTTTCCGAACTCGTGGAATCAATAGAACAATTTCAAATAATTTTTTCTCTTAAATAAATAAGCAGCCCATTTGCAAAATCAATACTGCATGTTGCTTGTATTCTCGGGAATACAAAAAACTCAGTACGTACATGACGTCGAACTTGCTTTTTACAATGAGCGCCTTCAACCGAGTGCTATCGAAAATAAAACCAACATTTGATTTAATTATTCTTCGAATATTCAAAGAAGTCTTATTTCTGTTCGGTCTCGCGCCCTTCAGCGTGAAAATCTCGGAATCTCCAGTTGAGAGATCCAAGTTCGTCTTTAAATTCTCGCAGTCGCGAAACAGATGCGCTTATAACATCATCGTCGGCGTTTTGTTTACGTCGTATATCGTTTGGAAGAAAAACAACAGCAATTGGATCAACACTGCATTATTCGCGGCCATACATGGAGCCACCGCTACCATCAATTTCATATACTGCTATTACAGTCAACAACTGATCGCAATTGGAAATCGTCTAGCTGAATATGACAGAGCGGTACCAATGGCGTTGTCACGATTTTATCATTGTGAAGACGCGACACTTCAAATGATCATTGTAACTACTGCTGCTACAATTGTCTGGCTCATTGACAGTGTATTAGTTGTCATAAAATCCGACTACCCAATGGATACTGCACTACTCATGACAGTGGGCTTGTCGTACAACTGCTTCTGGATCCAATACATCATGATTATAATTCTTCTGAAGAATAGGTTGTCCGCGCTGAATGCCGCACTCATGAAGATTGGAAACGCCGATGCAAAGAGAAAGACGATCTCTGTACTTTCTTTCGATGCATCTTGCGAATCAAGAACTGAAAGAAATATCGTAGTCATCAGAAAAGCGCGGAATATTCTTTACGCTATTGCCTACAGTGTTGAAGAGTTCTATTCACTTCCAGTTGTGGTAGCTGTTATTGAATGCTGCTGCATCGTTGTCTATAGTGGTTACTACACAATCGGTCCGTTCATTCTCTCCGAACCGCCAGCAACACCATTCTTATTTTACAATTACGCGTGTTGGGGCATTGAGTATTTATGGATTTTGGCGTGTTTCAGCATTAATGTTAATAAACTTATTGAAGAGGTTAGGATCTTTGTAGAAAAAAATCATCGACTAGTCGTGCGCTCACACTTGTCTTGTTTTTTTCAGACCAGAGAAACTATCATTGTAGTTTACGACATCATGGAGACATACGATGATAAGAAAAGCATCAAGTCCTCGGTATATCACAATTTTTTTAAAGAATATTTATCCAAAAGAATTGATTTTTTTAAACTGATTTTTTATCATATAATAAAGCTGTTGAATTCTTCAAACTTCTATGAAAATCTGGACCAATCTCTAGTTTTTTCACATCGCCCTCAATTTTTTTGTAATTCCGAAATTTTTTTTAAGTAAATCCTCAGATCCCGTTGACAAGAAAAAAAAATGTTTAATGATTTGGTTGAAGCTATCGACTAATTTTTCATAGTCACTACAAATATTGATTGGTTTTAAATGGTTTTCCTTCTGTCACAGAAATTACGTAATTTTGTTCGACCACATAAAAAATGAATTTTGGAAAACCGGATAAATATCTTTTGATAAATAATAACTGGTCTTGAATTTATTCACGTCTTTGGTTTTAGTTAATTGATTTCTCTTATGAATCGCTGAACCGACAAATGAACTTCACAGCATGTAAAATGTTCCCTCTTGATTGCTCTCTGCTGTTATCAGTAAGTAAAATAATTCTTGATTTGTTGGTGAGTCTTGGATTTCTTTAAATTGATGGATGATTCGTTTGTACAGATTCTCAGCATGATGGGAACGTACATGGTGATTGCTCTCCAGTACAAGCCTTGATACAACAATTCCTGCATTCGATTGAAAATCACAGTGACAATTCTCTTATGTAAACTTGTGACAAAAATATCAATACGAATAGTTTTGTTAAAAAAAAATTCTGACTGTGTTAGATCAATATAGCCAGAGTCGATTCTTCACCTCTTTCCAAAACATAATACAGTCCGAATTAAATTCAGTAGCGAAGTGGTAAAACGATTTCGGTCGACTTATCTTCCAGTTGAGTTTTTGAAGAATACCCGAATCTAAGGTAGATAGAGAAATTTTCGTAATTACATTTATGTAGCTCTCAATCGGCTCTACAAAAAAGGTTGTAACAAAAATTTTTCCACCTCCTTAGATTCCGAGATATTCATTAAAAACTAGCCAATAGTCACAATTAACTTGTACCGTTTTACCTTTTCGCTACTGAATTGTTCATCTGCTAATTAAAATAAACGACAGTCGTGTATGATGAATAATATTGAATTTCAATGTTGCGTGCACAATATTCTTAGCAAAAAAATATTCATGATTTTGTACAGCACCACGTACTATTGCAAACTATCATTGATGTAATCACCCTTATGTAAACTTGTGACAAAGATATCAATACGAATAAAGTTTTGTTAAAAAAAAATTCTGACTTTTGCAACGAAGAATATTAAATACTCTGCAACTTATTTTTAAAATATGAATAGAGATATGAATGATATGAAAATGAGAATGGCAACGTTAAATGAATGTGGTGGCCCTGAGAAGGGCCGATTGTTTAGATTGAGACTAGGTCTGAGCTTAAGCTCTCTCTCCACGAATGCGACGAGCCAGCTGGATGTCCTTGGGCATGATGGTGACCCTCTTGGCGTGGATAGCGCAGAGGTTGGTGTCCTCGAAGAGACCGACGAGGTAAGCCTCGCTGGCCTCCTGAAGAGCCATAACAGCAGAGCTCTGGAACCTCAAGTCAGTCTTGAAGTCCTGGGCGATCTCACGGACGAGTCGCTGGAACGGGAGTTTACGGATGAGAAGTTCTGTGCTCTTCTGGTAACGACGAATCTCGCGAAGAGCGACAGTTCCCGGCCTGTAGCGATGGGGCTTCTTAACTCCTCCAGTGGCTGGCGCACTCTTACGAGCGGCTTTGGTAGCCAGTTGTTTCCTGGGAGCCTTTCCTCCAGTGGATTTACGGGCAGTCTGCTTGGTACGAGCCATTGCGTCAGGTACTTGCTTACAAGAGTGCAGAAAAGCGAATGCAAAGCGAATGAAGCGAACAACTGAAGAGTTAGTATATATACTATCGTCCTTCCACGTGATTGGTTCGACGCGCCAGGAGGGGAGCACTAACCGTCGTCACGCTATTGGTGGTCTGAGAGTGGTGGGGGAATGCGTTAAGCGGGACCCATAAAATTGCGACTGTTTCATCTCTGAGCATCATAAGCTTCGGCTATTCTCATCAGTTTCGACGTGTCCCTTATAACCAAGTAAAATGTCTGGTCGCGGAAAAGGAGGAAAGGGATTGGGAAAAGGGGGAGCTAAGCGCCATCGTAAAGTCCTTCGTGATAACATCCAGGGAATCACCAAACCAGCCATTCGCCGTCTCGCTCGTCGAGGTGGAGTGAAACGTATTTCGGGATTGATTTACGAAGAGACTCGTGGAGTACTCAAGGTCTTCCTTGAGAACGTCATCCGTGACGCAGTCACCTACACTGAACACGCTAAAAGGAAGACCGTTACCGCTATGGATGTGGTCTACGCTCTGAAACGTCAAGGACGTACTCTGTACGGATTTGGAGGTTAAAGACACCCGTCTGCAGATCGAAAAACAATCGGCCCTTTTCAGGGCCACCACATGTTTATTACGTTGGAATTTTAATAACGCGTTACTGATCAATAAGTATTGTATGATGAGATTTATTTTGTAGAGATGAATAATGACGAGAGTTGACAGCAAACAATGTATTCCGTCAGTTTCACCATAAGAACAATGAAGATTTTCATAACTTGTGAAGTAATGATTGGATTATGATTTGTTTTATTGGACCTTTATATCGAATTCGAATTTAAATTTGTCACTCGTCTCAGTATCAACTTATTGTCACAAAAAAGATTGGAATTTGTAGATTTGTTTAATATGTTTTAAGCCATTTTCCGAAAATCCATTTTTAGACATCAAAGTAAATTAGGTAATTTTTTATCATGAGAAAACATGGAACCAACATTTGTTATAATTCAAGTACACTAGTTGTCTTCACAAATTAAACAATTTTTTTCCAATGCACCAACTTGATGCAAATTAATTTCAAATTGATAATTCACTTAGTAGAAGACTCCCAAAATAGGCAATCTAAAAAATATGGTATATCCAATGACCAAGGAACAACCAGATTAGTCATAAATCAGGTAACAGAATTCAATTTAAGGAGAAACGTAACACTTGTTTCCTTCTACAATTTATTAATTTTTATCTGACTCTTTGTTAATTCGATTGTTGCATTGTTTTGTAAGTTATTCGTTTCCTCTTAATATGCACACATTTGAATCAACTAAAATAGAATATTCCTTCGTAAAAATATGTGGTGGCCCTGAAAAGGGCCGATTTTGTTGTAAATGGATGATGAAATGAATTTAGGAACTGCTTTTCTCGGTCTTCTTCGGGAGAAGAACAGCCTGGATATTGGGGAGTACTCCACCCTGTGCAATTGTAACTCCAGACAACAGTTTGTTCAACTCTTCATCGTTACGGATGGCCAATTGCAGATGCCTAGGGATGATCCTAGTCTTCTTGTTGTCACGAGCAGCATTGCCTGCCAACTCGAGAACCTCAGCGGCCAGATATTCCATAACTGCAGCCAAGTAAACTGGAGCTCCAGCACCTACACGCTCTGCGTAGTTTCCTTTACGCAGGAGGCGATGAATACGACCCACTGGGAACTGAAGGCCAGCCCTGGTAGAGCGAGTCTTGGACTTTCCCTTAACCTTTCCACCTTTGCCGCGTCCTGACATTTTGTAAAAAATTTAATTCAACGTTGAGTCCCTAAAAGATCAATGAAGAGTGCGTTGCAATTCCGAATACCCCTCTTTATAGCTTCATACGCTCCCACCGCCGAGCCAATGGGAACATCGCAGGCCTTGCGTCTCACCTGATTGGCTCGGCGGCGTAAGCGCCAGTGCTATTATAATAACGGCGTTCCATAGGCAGTCACAATTTTACAGAGCTCTCCGACCTGTAACAACTATACTTCCAGCACTATGCCACCCAAAGCTAGCGGTAAAGCCATGAAGAAGGCTGGAAAGGCCCAGAAGAACATAACGAAGACCGATAAGAAGAAGAGGCGTAAGAGGAAGGAGAGTTACGCAATCTACATTTACAAAGTTCTGAAACAAGTTCATCCCGACACTGGGGTCTCCAGCAAGGCCATGAGCATTATGAACTCATTTGTTAATGACATCTTCGAACGGATTGCCGCTGAAGCCTCACGATTGGCCCACTACAACAAACGTTCAACCATCACCTCTCGGGAAATTCAGACTGCTGTTCGTCTTCTTCTCCCAGGAGAGTTGGCTAAGCACGCTGTTTCTGAAGGCACTAAAGCTGTCACCAAGTACACCAGTTCCAAGTAATCTGGTTACATTCAACAATACAATCGGCCCTTTTCAGGGCCACCACATACATTTAATGTTGCAACTCTCCTTTTCGATTTATATTATTTACATGAATTAACACAGTTTTCTTTATTTAACATGAATGACACTTTTCAATCCGAACATTAAATGTATGTCGGATATATATTACACAATTTAGACAGCATGATAGTTATTATAAATCGACGTTTCGACGTCAGAGATTAAAATAACAGACGTCCACGTGCGCTTCGTGCGTAAATGGTATTCTTGATGGGGAACTATTAATCTCGTCTTCAATTCGTGCTGCAACACTCGTTAAAAATGAAAATTAGACGCTTCCATTCTAAATACATACATTTCTAAACACGGGTGCGTTTCCTGTGGGTAACAATTATCGCGATCATATTTTTTATAAATGTCCTTTTTCACTCGTATGTTAAGGCTACTCGTCGCGGAAAATCGATACGTATGTGCACAGTGATAATCCATCACAAGATATTTCAATATTCAAATCAATTTCTGGAGTGGGTTGAAGTCATCTGTGTTCAATGCTACATCAATGGAGTAGACTTCATAAGTCAATCTTCGTGATGCGCATCGATAATCGTCTACAAAACTGTACGTCGTATGCCAATATATTTAATTTATTCACAAGATTTTTATTGTGATAATGCGGGTAATTGCGCACTCCCAAAAATCTACTAAAATTTTAATATTTTCTCTTCAATTCTTTTTTTATACGTTAACATAATTCCGTGGAAATGTTTAAATGAAAATTCCTCGTCATAGTTTTTACGAGTTTTTTTCGTCCACTTTTTATCGCGACATGAAGAAAAATGCGAATACGATAATTTATCACGAAGTTTCCGAAATTATTATATTTTTCAAAAGATCGACTTTTCAACGTTCATTAAAAAATGATAATTAAGGTAAATTTTTCCCTGAAAAAAAATCATATCATAGCCTCTTGTTTTTCGCTGACAGTGGATTAAAAAAACGAGAGTAAAAATTTTGTAAATTTACAAAATAAGAACTCGCTAGTGAATATTCAATTCTAAAGTCTATATTTTGCTGATGGAAGAGGCTCGTGTCCCCAACTTCTGATGACAACAAAAAAATTAATGGAATGCTGATGGTTGAATTATTGGATAACAGACAATGCGCTGTGATCGAAATGTCCCGTATGAGCAAATAATTGACATTTTTTGCGTAAGAAGTATTGCATAATAACAACTGTTGTTAACTTTTCACCAACATTCTTTATTTTCCACCAATAAGTGAGCATCAATTGCTGCCAATTAACAGTTATTGCAGTACACGAGGGTTAAATAAAAATGTTTGCAAATGGTTTCATCCATGCCTCTATTCGCTAGCTCGATAACCGTCAGTGGTAATAAGTAGGGAGGGACCTGCTCGGCGTTTTAATTACCCTAGAAATACCCGTTTTCGTTTAGTTTTCGCGCTAATCGCGGAGGAGCTTCTTTGAGTAGAGAAAGGGAAGAGACTCCAAGTGTGTTGAATAAAAAGAAGCCGAGTGTAGTTTGAAAATAAAAAAATTGTGAACATGTTTGAGAGGCGGCAATCAATAGGTAAAAATTCAGAAACTAATAATTTTTCATATTGAAAAAAATTTTTTTTGTGTTTATTTGAATTGATGAACACATTGTAGACGTTCACGCGGAGGAACACAATATCGATAATGCGGTCGAAGTGGCCGGTGAGTACATCTAGATCCACATTTTTTCGATAAGTTGAAAACTGAATCAAATATCAATAAAAAAATCGAGCATTTTTGCAGGAAATTCTTTTGATTTTTTTTTTGACTCTCAAGAATAAAACAAACGTTTGAATTATTCGATTTATTCATTGATAATTCATTACATTTTCTCTGCTCTGAAATTTGAAAATTGAATTCATTTCGCTAGAAAATTCTATTGAGTTTTTATTGATTCTTAAATGACAAAGCAAACGTTTGAATAATGTCTTATATAATGTTATTATATTATATAATATATTATATTTTCTCTGCATTGAATTTTGAAAATTGAATTCCTGAAATGTTTCATAACGATCGTTTTCCGATTATTATTGTTGTACAATCTCCTCCGTCATTTTTTCTAGGATTCGGTAAATTTAATCTTAAAGTCGTGACAGTGAGCGGATTAATCGTGTTCAATACTGCATTCAGTATCAGCAGTGTTGGTCTGATACTGCCTTCGGCAGCGTGTGATTTCAATTTGACAACTGCGGATAAAGGTCGCATGTCGGCAGCTCCAATCCTAGGTAATTACCCGAGGAAATTTGATAATTAGAAAGCAGCACCAGGATTAGTGATAATTATTTATACCATCAACTCGCCTAACATTTCGGGAACAGTATCAAGTCTCTGGAGTACTTGCTTTCATATTCCAGGAATGGTCGTAGGGTCCTATTTCTGGGGCTGCTTAGCCGACTTGAAAGGCCGGAAGTTTGCTCTCCTCACAGCCCTGTTCTCCCAAGGAATGTTCGAGGCCATATCCTCCGTCGTTCCGAACTACTGGGTATATTTAGTGCTAAAGTTTTTCAGTGGCTTCTCGTGAGTTTTTAGTTTCATCTTTTCCAGATTTATTTCATGAATTTCGCGTATCTTATATATTTTTATTCACACGTGCTCATCTCCACTATCTAGTGCTAACGGCCAAACTGCGGTTGTGTTCACGTACCTGGGGGAATTTCAATCGTCAAGACTGAGAGAAAGGATTCTCTGCTGGCTGGAACTGACCTGGTCCTTAGGATTAATTGGATTACCCCGTAATTTCTCATTTCCATTAATAAATCCTAGCGCTCTCATTAGGACATTTTATTCATTTTTTATGCAAAACTAAAAAATATAACAAAAAAATAGAATTCCCGTTTTTTAAAGTTGCATAAATGGTTTCGAAATCGTTTCAGGCGATCTCCAGTAATTTTTTCCCATATATTTTTCAATGGAAAAATGCACGTGAAAATTCAGATTTTGGCTTTAGCTGAGTTTTCGAGGAATATCTCCGAATCTAAGAGAGATAACGAAATTTTCGTCGAAACCTTTTTTGTAGAGCGAATTGAGGGCTACAGAAAAGGTATTGACAAAAATTTTACCATTTCCCTTAGGTTTCGAGATATTCATTGAAAACTGGCCAGTAGCCGAAGTCGACTTGAAAATTTCCTAGTGAAAGCGCGAGGATTTTCCAACGACTTTTGCTGGAAGTGATGTAATGCTTAGAAATCATTATACCTCATGCTAATTTAATCCTCATTTACTTTTACAGTCGTTGGATGGGGCATAATTCCTCTTGAAATTTCGTACGCGACGAAATACTTTCATTTTCACTCTTGGAACTTATTCGTATTAATTTGCTCTTTGCCGGCGTTGGTAATAGGACTGTGGCTTTTGACATTTCCCGAGACACCGAAGTATCTTGCGGAATCGGATGACGATGCTAAACTCGCTGACACTCTCGATTTGATGCATAAAGAAAATACTGGAAAATCATTCGATGAGTACCTCGTACGTTACCCATTACTTTTTAATAAATTAATGCATGCAGTTGCATAATCCCTGAACATTGTTCATTTGACCCGCGTAATCTTTTAATTTTCAGCGATTAATTCAAGTTTTTTCGCATCTAATCTAATCAAGACATAATCTCATCAAATTGATATAATGAATCCATTGAAATTGAATAAATAAGCTGATGAGAATAATTGATTCTGAGTAGCGAAGCGTGAAAACGATTCAAGTCGACTCAGCTCTTAGTTGAGTTTTCGAGGAATATCTCCGAATCTAAGGGAGATAGATGAATTCTTGTAATAATCTTTTGTGTAGATTTCAACCCGTTCTATAAAAAAGATAGAGCCAAAAATTTTGCCATCTGCCTTAGATCCCGAGATATTAACTGAAAACTGACCAATAGTCAAAATCGATTTAAGGATATCCAAGCACTTGGGCTGTTTTTCTCCAGTGAAATCCTTTTCTACTTGTGTAGTCAAACAATGGAAATGTTATTTGTGTCACAAAGTTTAAACAATTTCAATTATTTCAAATTATGAATAGACGCTGAATATTCATAATTTTTTTCAATTTTTTCGCGCGCAATTTAATTAACAAATTTGATGATTGAAAATGATTGAATCCTTAAACCGTTTCGTAGAGTATTTTTCGTTGAATATTCAAGAATAATATCCACTACATTTGTTACATTTTTTTATTAGCTTCCATATCACTTTCACAATTCATAATCCAGAAATAAAAAATGCTGAAAATTTTGCAATCACTGTTGAATAATGAAGCAAATCAAATTTTATTTATCCAAAAAAAAATTTCAGGAAAAATTAGAAAAACACGGTGGCACGGAATTTTGCGCCAGGTTGAAGGCTCGCTCAATTGCTTCGAAAAAGGAAAATTCACAGCTGGCAAAAGTGGGCAAGGTATTCGCCCAAGTTTACGTACAAACAATAACAATATTAAAACCGCCATTCTTGCAAAGAACCGCAATCTCGTGTGCCATAATGTTCTGTCTCGGTTCGTCATACTACGCGCTGACAATATGGTTCCCCGAGATATTCACGAGATTCGCTAAATTCGAGGCGAAATTCCCCGGTGAATCGGCGAGCGTCTGCAGCATAACTAAATCGAACTCAGTGAATGCAACTGTGAGTGAAATATCTTGATTCATTCGGGGAGAACATTTCTGTCATTCATTAGTTATTTCAATTGGATTAATTTTATTTATAGAATGCAGCTCATGAGTGTCCAGTGAACATTCCAACCAATGTTTACATGCATACAGTAATTCTTGGTGCTGCCTGTATTCCTCTGAGTCTCCTCCTTCCTGCTTTCGTGTACTCTCTTGGATATAAATTTTATTTAAGTGCGTAAAATATTTTCTAGCAATTTTTCATAGGTGTCACGTCTCGAGAATTTTCTTTTTAAAATCGGGGGCTTTTGCTTGGAAATTCTATTGAAATTCTAGTGATTTTTTAGTCTTCTTGCACTGAGAGAAGAAATTAGTTCTGCCGAAAATATTATGTTTCCCTGAAGAGATCTTTTATCAATAAACATTTATGATTTTCATGGAACAAATGATAATTTCAAGACGAAACTAAAATTTTCTTGCCGAAAACTGTGGTATTGGCAAAACTAAATAATTTTTAGGGGGCAATTTTTTTGGGAAAATAATATTCTTTCCTTGTCAATGTATTCTCTTTATGGTATAAACCTATGGAGTGCTCTCAGATCAAATGATTGTCGTACATAAGTTATATTTTTTCCTGCCGACAGGTCGAATTCTTCTAGGGATATTTCTGATGATCACGACAATAATTTAATTTTTGTGGACGATATTAAATTTTCTTCCATCAAGTTGGGTAATTTCCATCAAGTAAATCTGTTCCACTCCATCAAATATTCTCACGTGGAACATAGTTTTTCGGCAGAGCAAATTTTCTCTCTCGGTGTAGTCGATTTTTTGGGAGATATTTGGCGAAAAAATTCTATAGGTTTTCATTTTTGGGGATTTACTCGAAAAATCCATCGTTTTGGTTGTTATTTGGTGTCAGACCGGTAGTAATTCTTCCCCACATTTTGAATAATTTGCCCACAAAATTAGAGAATTGACAAAATCAGACAAATTTTTGGAAGAAGAATTAAAATTCTATCGGAATTCCCATGACAATCCCAACTAATTGAATAATTTTGCAGTTTCTTCGAGTATTGTTGCATCAGCCATTACCATTGGGCTTTTTTTCGTGCGATCATCTACACAAAATCTCGTCCTGTCTGCTATTTACGAGGCGTTCACCTCCATCGGGATGAGTATCGTTCTCTGTATAGTGATTGAAATTTTTCCGACGAAATTCAGGTAAATCCGCGAGAACAACTCGTTAGGAATAATCCCTGGATTTTAGTTATGTTTATCAAAAGTCTCGTGAATAATTTCTAGAACAAATTTAATATTTCCAATCAAAATTCCACAAAAATATTGCAATGCTTACGAGAATGATTTCATTTTAGAGCAATGGCCTCAGCCCTCGCAGTATTTTTCATAAGAATCGGTGCACTATCCGGAAATTTACTCTTCGGATTCTTGATCGATAATTACTGTGTGCCTGTCATCATAGTTCTTGCTGTGCAGCTTCTCGGTAATTCGATAATTTTTTTTACAAGTTAAATGAAGAAATTAAAAACTTGTGATTAACAATTTGTTTCTTTGCACTGATCTGCAGTTTGTGCGCTTCTCGGACTACTGATTCCCCTCAAACGAAGAGAGAAGAAGATCCCGGATGAGAATGAAGTTACATCCCTTTGAAACACCGCTGGAAAGTCGAAGAAATGGTCTAGTCATAATTACACATGTGTGAATACAATCCATAATTCATGCGCTCGTTAAAGAACATCATTTTTCACTCCAACAGCATAAATTGAGATATTGAAATAAAACAAGTTTTTAATTCAATTTGAAGTCGTTGATGTCTTATGATGGGATTTACATAATTGATTGAGACCACGAGTTGCTCATGTCATATATCATATCGTCGTCACGAAGCTAAATCGTTACTTCATTGACATTATTTCATTGACTTAGTCCATAGCTAAGTTTTTGAGGAATATCTCCGAACCTAAGGGAGATAACGAATTTTTTGTAATGACCTTTTTTATAGGGCCAATTGAGTGCTACAAAAAAGGTCCTAACAAAAATTCTGCTATCCCCCTTAGATTCCGAGATATTCAAGGAAAACTGACCAATAATCAAAATCGACTTGAATCGTTTTACTCATTCGCTACTGAAATTCCACAATGCCTGAATAAATCAATTTATTAACCAAAAAATTACACTTATTCAACTGAATTTTCTCATTCATGTCACAGCGAGCAATATCGTAATACGGAGATTTCCCTAGTAACTCATACACTTTATTAACGCAAACAGTTATTCAATCATTGAATAAAACACCGAAGTCAATAACCGGTTGACGCGACATAAATCTTCACGATTCATCATTGCGCATATTCTCACTGTTCCTCGGAAACTGTAATCGATTGACTCATGAGGCTCGCAGGCATTGTTTCGTCCCCCGTGGGTGGGCCAAATATTAGCGGTCCTGCGTAATAAGGCAATAGAGGATATGTCGCAGGTGAGAAGTAGGCCGAGGGAAAGAGTCCTTGTCTCTGGGCAATTTTTAACCGCGATGTTAACTGCTTCTTCCACTTTGTTCGACGATTTTGGAACCACGTTTTTATTTGTACTTCGGTGAGACTCAGGGTCTTCGACAGCTCCATTCGTTTGCTCACACTCAGATATTTATCCATCTGCAGAAATAATGTGTTAAATAAAAGTGGCGGGACAATTTTTTAGTTGCATTGATTTTACCTTGAATTCAGATTCAAGCCTTTCCAACTGTTTCGCGCTGTAGGCTTGACGCGGTTTTCTGTCAACTCCGGGCTTTCGAGATCGTCTGCCACTCGGTTTTGGTGCTGAAATTTATAAATGAGATGGATGGATAAAATGAAGATAAGAGTTTTTGAGGTATATCTCCGAATCTAAGGGAGATAACGAAATTTTTGTAATAACTTTTTTTGTAGAGCGAATTGTGGGCTATTAAAAAGGTCATGACACAAATTTCGCTAACTCGTTTACATTTCGAGATATTCTTTGTTAACACTGGACAACCGCTTTGCTACTGCTTTGCAGCTGGCGCTAGATGGGGCCAGCTACAACGCCGCTCATTTTGCTCCCTTCGCTCCCTAACTGGTACAAATTTCGCCTTGTTTTGCGTGAAAAGTTGAAAAAATTGGAACAATCTCGGTATATATCATCATTGAGAATTTTTAGTATTCTTTCTGAAGAAAAGAAAGAGAAAATCAGGTTTAATAATTCATACAAATTTCTAACCAAACATTCACCAACCAGAGCAATTAGCATAATCTAGTCATTTTCCGGTTTCCCACATGCATTTCAAAGCCACGATATCTCCGATGTCCGAGGAATTATTTAACATGTCTATGAAAAGCGTGGACTTTAGACCTCCGACGATAATGAACTGAACAAATAGTATTTAATGATTAATATCCTCCACGTGTGACATTGTATCACGAGAACTCTCCGGATAAGAAAATTTAATTGTATGAAGGGATGAAAAACGGATTGAGAAAATATATCTCAGTATTGATCATGAACACTAGTTGTAAAGGGTCCAGGAATAATTTCGTAACGTAAAAATCCGGAGAGAGCAGACAATATTTTCTTTCTGTTTAACCATCGCAGAGCATATTAACGTGGAAACGATCACTTTGACACCTCGTTCCTGCATTGTTTGCCTCACTAATTATCTGACGAGTGTTCCGCACTCTGTCAACAATCAGATGTCTCCTCTGTTTGACCAAGACCTTAGACATTTTTATGAGGCTCTTCTTTGTTAAATTCCATCTTCTTTCAATTTCAATTCCTCAATGATCATCATGAAAACATCATCATTCTTCACCTCATCTTCCCATTTACTTCGCAGATATGAACATTGATCGAACAATCCGAAATTACGTGAAAAGTGAAATATTCGATGAGTTCTATGAAAGTGAGTGGCAGAAGTAATGTAAAATGGGCAAAGAAAAGTGAATAAGAATGGGAAATGGTGCGAGGAGAGCGCCGGGGCGAAGATTTACGAGTGTGCAGAGACATTTAGCACCTCAACGGAAGGTGGTTAGAGCAGTGACGCTGATAAATGGCCACCTAACAGCATGGCGGATTGAGGAAGAAAATGACAATGGCGGATCCATTCGTCTCTCGACTTTTACGTGATTTTTCATATTTCAAAATTGCTTATTCTTTTCCATTGTACGACATTTTACATTTAAAAATTTTCATTCTTCTATTCCTCTCGTCAGATTAACCTATAGCATTATCCTTCAACCCATTATGCCCCAAGAATTTTTTCTATCGAGACATTTTCGTCAGGAATTCCTCGACAAAAATTGTTCCAAAATTTGTCCACTCTGTTTTTTTATTTTTTCATCGAAAAAATCAAACGAAAAAAATTAGAAAATTTGAGCCGAGGAATTTTGAAAATGTTTGCGAAAATGTGGACGTTCAGATATTTTTTTTTCATTTGATTTCAATTATTCTATTCATCAAATTGTTTTATAAAAGATGTTGAGGCGTGATGATCGAAATAATTCTTCCATATCGCCCACTGATGCTGTAATCGCGTGTCAGAGAGCCGTTAGTGCTTTCACACCCTTAACACCCAATATTCGTTTGGATCCGCTGTATATCTCAACTGAAGGAGGCTCTGCCTATTGTCCGGGAAAATGAAATAACCGAGATGGTAACAACAATTCATAAACGATTGTAGGAATCACTCGAGGGGTCTTTCGTGGTTGGAGCGCTATTTTCTTTCGCCCGAAAAATTAATTTCCGAGGGATAATTAATTACCTTGGAGACCGAACAACTGACCAGGTTTCGATTGGGTGAACCAACTCCCATAGAGGAGGGACGCCGAGGCTAGGGAGGCAGCCGAGTATCCTGGTGACTCTGGCAGCCCTTCGGGCACTGACGGCGCCGATCCCGGACTGTAGAGTGGATTGGTATCTATTTAATGAAAGAAATCGATCAATGAATAGGGAAATTTGGAATTCGGTGGACAATTCTATTATGTTTTGGTCGATTCTATTGAAGAATTTTATTAAATAAACTTTATTGGAATCAAATAAATCGTTTACTTGATTTTAACAGGGGATTTATTTGATTGAAATAACAATTATTCAATTCAAATAAACGTTTATTGTCGATGCACGTTTTTTCATAGAAAGAATCAATAGAATTTCATCTTTCTATACAACTTTTTCTATTGAGACATTGTCTCTAAAAATTCTTCTGCATATCACTGATTTCCCGGGATTTATTCCCAATTAAAGTAAATGTAATTATCATATTTTAATCATTTTGACAGTTACAAGAATCTATCAAGAGAAATACGATTGAAGGAATTACATTAGTTAATAAGGAAAGTAATAGAAACCAATAAACCATAAATTACTGAAAAATAAGAAAGATAAATGCCGGAGAGTGGGCTACGACAGAGTGAATTCTTAAGCCGCAAGTTTAGAAATTCACAATTTTGAAATGTTTATATCTCCGTTATAATAATAAGACAGGATTAAAAATCTCTTGAATGAGGTTTCGGATAGTTAAAAATTGATAACGGACTGAACGGATGAAAAAAATCATTTAAAACGTTGGACCGTCCAATTGAACAATAATTTTGTGCCTCGGAATATGTTTCAGTGTTGTTTCATCACAAAATAGGATACTCACGATGTAATTAGTTGGGATAGAACCTCTCCTTATTATTAAAATCACGAGACAAGTAAGCCAGCGTAGAGACTCAGGACTTTCCACATTTATGGACGATTATTCATTAAAAAATCGTAATTATCATGATAAATATGACTGAATTCTAGTTCCCAAGGATTCACTTTCCGATATCAATCAATCAATTTAAACCACCAAATCTTCGCACTCATTTCGATAGAAATATTGGACTGATGATGGGGAAAAGTTATGAAGAAATTTCATTAATACGACATTGATTACCGGCTAGAGGGAATGATATCCACTTACGCTGATCGTAGAAACTCCCCGAACTCCCAGACAACCCGATCGGTCCTACGTAGTAACTCCTATCCTCCGCGACACTATTATCACCCCGATTGTTCGCAACACTTGATTCCTGCTCACCTCGACTGCACTCCTTCCTTCCCAGGATACTGTCAATGGAGAATGCACTTGACACTGGATTTATCGAGCTTGCGGCTTTCGCCGGCGGTAACAATCTCTCATCACCACTCGTGTCACTCGTGTCCGACGCGTAACCCGTTAAATCGCGCGAACGATCCGAAGATTCTGTGCTGTCCTCTTTGACGCCTCGCTCCATCAACTCCATATTGCAATATGTCATTTAGAAATTTTTCTCAAGCATGAAATTATCGCAGCCAAAAAATCCCAGATAAATCGAGGAGTTGAACAAATCGTCGCGATTTTTTTTGGATATATTTTACTCTATCCATTTATCGACAGGTGTACCATTACGGTTAATCGACGGACTTGAATGAATTTTCATTATTTTTTAACCTCGCTCGGAGATGATTTCACGTCACAAGCTAATCTACCACTAATGCTGCTATCAGCGAGCGCAAAGGTAGCAACACCCAATCTATGACAGGTGGCACGTGTCCGTGGGTCCATTCCGTGTTCCTTCCGCCCCGCATCGCCATCCCCACCACTTCACACTTCACCCCCTCGACATCTTTCAACATTTTAGACCCTCCCCCCCTCATTGTTACCGCTCGTTTCTATTTTCAATATGTGAGTGTCATTTGATGCCTGGAAAATTATGAGGGTATGCATACGTTATTTCCGTCGAGTATTAGAAAAATAGAGTGAAAAAAATAGAAATTTAATGTAGGAATTTTTATTGAAAATGTTGCAATCGAGAAAATTGTATAGAAAAATGAAATTTTAGTGGTTTATTCTGCAAAATAGTTTCTATTGAGCATTTCCTATGAAAAATCGAAAGACAGTATTCAAAAATATTTTATTTTAAATCTTCAATATTTTGTGAACAAATGATCAAAATGGATTTTTTTCCACTTCGAGGCGTGAAAATCAACTTGAATCGCCCAAAATGAGTGAATTTTACTCCCATTTCGAATTATTTACCGCTGAAAGCCACCAGTTCCGCCTGGTTCTGCCCCCATTAATTGTTTTCATTCATTAAAAATAAAAAAAGTAAATAATTCAATTTTTCAATTTGGAGTTGAATGAAAAGACAAAAAAAATATAGAAAAATTCATGACTAATTTTGGTTATTCCGGACTAGTGAGGAAATATTTTTGATGGATAATGTGCGCATGTCCGTATGAAGAAGTCCCGCCCTCCCTCGAACACCACTAAAACACCCCCTTGCGCTCTAGCCCCCGAAAAGAAAGACCATAATGGCACAAGCCCACTCCAACACCTACAGTAATATATAAAAGCTCCTTTCGCTTCTACCCACCTTTAGAAATATGATTAAAGACCACCTTCGAATCTTCCCGAGCTTTTATTAAATCTTCAGTGGGTCTATAAATTTCATTTCCAATGTTGAAATGAGAGATAAATGTTTTTTTTCTTTCTCAAAATAGTTTATGAGTGTTTGTTGAGTATACGATTGTAATCCCCACCCCCAAATCTCCAAAATTATTGGATATTTCGCGAGAGGTTTAATTGCAAAACTCAGCCCAATTGTTAATATGAACAACGGAATAATTTTCCCATTATTCAGACAATTGCAAGCGTTGCATTCATTGCGAAGTCCCAATGTCTGTTGATAATTTCAACGAAAATTCGATTAAATTTTTGTTGAACTTCTAATGTAAATTCGATTAGTTTTTGATCGATGTTATGAAAGAATTCCGCAGGTTTACAGGGCGTTTTTTACAGAAAATATTCAATAGAAACTATTTTACAAAAAAAAATTGATCAAATTTCATTTTTCTATACAATTTTCTATATTGAGACATTTCCTATAAAAATTCCTGCACTAAATTTCGAAAATTTGAGCCGAGAAATTTCTCGGGAAATATCTGAATGAAATATTGAAAACCATCAAATTTTCCATTACGAAGATATGGAAATTTTTCCACAAATGTTCGACGAAATTCTGTAATATCTAATTTCACGTGAATCGTTAAGCAATATTTCGAAAAGGAGCAACTGATGTTTAAACTGTGTAAAGGAAGGTGCGAAGAGTAGAAGTAACACTCGGCGGAGGCTACACTACCATGGCTCTCCATCCATGTCGTTAACTTCCTGGAAACTGCTTGGAACATAAAACCGCAGACAACTAAACCTGAGTTATACCGATGATAACAAACATCTCACCTAGTGTCAATCTGTGTTTCTGAAGACACAAATCCAGTGAATGAAGCAATCGCGTAATAATTTGCGCTCCGCAGAGATGTTTAAAAACTATATGAAATTCACAATGACAATAATATAATATCACGCTCAAAAAAAATTAATAGAATGACCTCGGGAATTCGTTGGGAAATTCTATTGCATTTCTATTAATGAGGGGCGCAGTGGCATTAGGCGGGCCAGGAAATACAGAATCGGCGGTCACCCGGCGGAAAAATTCGATTTTGGCGAACGTCGACTTTCCCCCCGAAAAAAGCCTAAATATGGCACTTTGGCTCGGGGGGGCGGGAAAAAAAAAATTTTTTATTCCTGCATTTCTGGGGCAAGTGAGGGGCGCTGTGGCATCAGGCGGGCCAGGAAATACAGAATCGGCGGTCACCCGGCGGAAAAATTCGATTTTGGCGAACGTCGACTTTCCCCCCGAAAAAAGCCTAAATATGGCACTTTGGCTCGGGGGGGCGGGAAAAAAAAAATTTTTTATTCCTGCATTTCTGGGGCAAGTGAGGGGCGCTGTGGCATCAGGCGGGCCAGGAAATACAGAATCGGCGGTCACCCGGCGGAAAAATTCGATTTTGGCGAACGTCGACTTTCCCCCCGAAAAAAGCCTAAATATGGCACTTTGGCTCGGGGGGGCGGGAAAAAAAAAATTTTTTATTCCTGCATTTCTGGGGCAAGTGAGGGGCGCTGTGGCATCAGGCGGGCCAGGAAATACAGAATCGGCGGTCACCCGGCGGAAAAATTCGATTTTGGCGAACGTCGACTTTCCCCCCGAAAAAAGCCTAAATATGGCACTTTGGCTCGGGGGGGCGGGAAAAAAAAAATTTTTTATTCCTGCATTTCTGGGGCAAGTGAGGGGCGCTGTGGCATCAGGCGGGCCAGGAAATACAGAATCGGCGGTCACCCGGCGGAAAAATTCGATTTTGGCGAACGTCGACTTTCCCCCCGAAAAAAGCCTAAATATGGCACTTTGGCTCGGGGGGGCGGGAAAAAAAAAATTTTTTATTCCTGCATTTCTGGGGCAAGTGAGGGGCGCTGTGGCATCAGGCGGGCCAGGAAATACAGAATCGGCGGTCACCCGGCGGAAAAATTCGATTTTGGCGAACGTCGACTTTCCCCCCGAAAAAAGCCTAAATATGGCACTTTGGCTCGGGGGGGCGGGAAAAAAAAAATTTTTTATTCCTGCATTTCTGGGGCAAGTGAGGGGCGCTGTGGCATCAGGCGGGCCAGGAAATACAGAATCGGCGGTCACCCGGCGGAAAAATTCGATTTTGGCGAACGTCGACTTTCCCCCCGAAAAAAGCCTAAATATGGCACTTTGGCTCGGGGGGGCGGGAAAAAAAAAATTTTTTATTCCTGCATTTCTGGGGCAAGTGAGGGGCGCTGTGGCATCAGGCGGGCCAGGAAATACAGAATCGGCGGTCACCCGGCGGAAAAATTCGATTTTGGCGAACGTCGACTTTCCCCCCGAAAAAAGCCTAAATATGGCACTTTGGCTCGGGGGGGCGGGAAAAAAAAAATTTTTTATTCCTGCATTTCTGGGGCAAGTGAGGGGCGCTGTGGCATCAGGCGGGCCAGGAAATACAGAATCGGCGGTCACCCGGCGGAAAAATTCGATTTTGGCGAACGTCGACTTTCCCCCCGAAAAAAGCCTAAATATGGCACTTTGGCTCGGGGGGGCGGGAAAAAAAAAATTTTTTATTCCTGCATTTCTGGGGCAAGTGAGGGGCGCTGTGGCATCAGGCGGGCCAGGAAATACAGAATCGGCGGTCACCCGGCGGAAAAATTCGATTTTGGCGAACGTCGACTTTCCCCCCGAAAAAAGCCTAAATATGGCACTTTGGCTCGGGGGGGCGGGAAAAAAAAAATTTTTTATTCCTGCATTTCTGGGGCAAGTGAGGGGCGCTGTGGCATCAGGCGGGCCAGGAAATACAGAATCGGCGGTCACCCGGCGGAAAAATTCGATTTTGGCGAACGTCGACTTTCCCCCCGAAAAAAGCCTAAATATGGCACTTTGGCTCGGGGGGGCGGGAAAAAAAAAATTTTTTATTCCTGCATTTCTGGGGCAAGTGAGGGGCGCTGTGGCATCAGGCGGGCCAGGAAATACAGAATCGGCGGTCACCCGGCGGAAAAATTCGATTTTGGCGAACGTCGACTTTCCCCCCGAAAAAAGCCTAAATATGGCACTTTGGCTCGGGGGGGCGGGAAAAAAAAAATTTTTTATTCCTGCATTTCTGGGGCAAGTGAGGGGCGCTGTGGCATCAGGCGGGCCAGGAAATACAGAATCGGCGGTCACCCGGCGGAAAAATTCGATTTTGGCGAACGTCGACTTTCCCCCCGAAAAAAGCCTAAATATGGCACTTTGGCTCGGGGGGGCGGGAAAAAAAAAATTTTTTATTCCTGCATTTCTGGGGCAAGTGAGGGGCGCTGTGGCATCAGGCGGGCCAGGAAATACAGAATCGGCGGTCACCCGGCGGAAAAATTCGATTTTGGCGAACGTCGACTTTCCCCCCGAAAAAAGCCTAAATATGGCACTTTGGCTCGGGGGGGCGGGAAAAAAAAAATTTTTTATTCCTGCATTTCTGGGGCAAGTGAGGGGCGCTGTGGCATCAGGCGGGCCAGGAAATACAGAATCGGCGGTCACCCGGCGGAAAAATTCGATTTTGGCGAACGTCGACTTTCCCCCCGAAAAAAGCCTAAATATGGCACTTTGGCTCGGGGGGGCGGGAAAAAAAAAATTTTTTATTCCTGCATTTCTGGGGCAAGTGAGGGGCGCTGTGGCATCAGGCGGGCCAGGAAATACAGAATCGGCGGTCACCCGGCGGAAAAATTCGATTTTGGCGAACGTCGACTTTCCCCCCGAAAAAAGCCTAAATATGGCACTTTGGCTCGGGGGGGCGGGAAAAAAAAAATTTTTTATTCCTGCATTTCTGGGGCAAGTGAGGGGCGCTGTGGCATCAGGCGGGCCAGGAAATACAGAATCGGCGGTCACCCGGCGGAAAAATTCGATTTTGGCGAACGTCGACTTTCCCCCCGAAAAAAGCCTAAATATGGCACTTTGGCTCGGGGGGGCGGGAAAAAAAAAATTTTTTATTCCTGCATTTCTGGGGCAAGTGAGGGGCGCTGTGGCATCAGGCGGGCCAGGAAATACAGAATCGGCGGTCACCCGGCGGAAAAATTCGATTTTGGCGAACGTCGACTTTCCCCCCGAAAAAAGCCTAAATATGGCACTTTGGCTCGGGGGGGCGGGAAAAAAAAAATTTTTTATTCCTGCATTTCTGGGGCAAGTGAGGGGCGCTGTGGCATCAGGCGGGCCAGGAAATACAGAATCGGCGGTCACCCGGCGGAAAAATTCGATTTTGGCGAACGTCGACTTTCCCCCCGAAAAAAGCCTAAATATGGCACTTTGGCTCGGGGGGGCGGGAAAAAAAAAATTTTTTATTCCTGCATTTCTGGGGCAAGTGAGGGGCGCTGTGGCATCAGGCGGGCCAGGAAATACAGAATCGGCGGTCACCCGGCGGAAAAATTCGATTTTGGCGAACGTCGACTTTCCCCCCGAAAAAAGCCTAAATATGGCACTTTGGCTCGGGGGGGCGGGAAAAAAAAAATTTTTTATTCCTGCATTTCTGGGGCAAGTGAGGGGCGCTGTGGCATCAGGCGGGCCAGGAAATACAGAATCGGCGGTCACCCGGCGGAAAAATTCGATTTTGGCGAACGTCGACTTTCCCCCCGAAAAAAGCCTAAATATGGCACTTTGGCTCGGGGGGGCGGGAAAAAAAAAATTTTTTATTCCTGCATTTCTGGGGCAAGTGAGGGGCGCTGTGGCATCAGGCGGGCCAGGAAATACAGAATCGGCGGTCACCCGGCGGAAAAATTCGATTTTGGCGAACGTCGACTTTCCCCCCGAAAAAAGCCTAAATATGGCACTTTGGCTCGGGGGGGCGGGAAAAAAAAAATTTTTTATTCCTGCATTTCTGGGGCAAGTGAGGGGCGCTGTGGCATCAGGCGGGCCAGGAAATACAGAATCGGCGGTCACCCGGCGGAAAAATTCGATTTTGGCGAACGTCGACTTTCCCCCCGAAAAAAGCCTAAATATGGCACTTTGGCTCGGGGGGGCGGGAAAAAAAAAATTTTTTATTCCTGCATTTCTGGGGCAAGTGAGGGGCGCTGTGGCATCAGGCGGGCCAGGAAATACAGAATCGGCGGTCACCCGGCGGAAAAATTCGATTTTGGCGAACGTCGACTTTCCCCCCGAAAAAAGCCTAAATATGGCACTTTGGCTCGGGGGGGCGGGAAAAAAAAAATTTTTTATTCCTGCATTTCTGGGGCAAGTGAGGGGCGCTGTGGCATCAGGCGGGCCAGGAAATACAGAATCGGCGGTCACCCGGCGGAAAAATTCGATTTTGGCGAACGTCGACTTTCCCCCCGAAAAAAGCCTAAATATGGCACTTTGGCTCGGGGGGGCGGGAAAAAAAAAATTTTTTATTCCTGCATTTCTGGGGCAAGTGAGGGGCGCTGTGGCATCAGGCGGGCCAGGAAATACAGAATCGGCGGTCACCCGGCGGAAAAATTCGATTTTGGCGAACGTCGACTTTCCCCCCGAAAAAAGCCTAAATATGGCACTTTGGCTCGGGGGGGCGGGAAAAAAAAAATTTTTTATTCCTGCATTTCTGGGGCAAGTGAGGGGCGCTGTGGCATCAGGCGGGCCAGGAAATACAGAATCGGCGGTCACCCGGCGGAAAAATTCGATTTTGGCGAAAGTCGACTTTCCCCCCGAAAAAAGCCAAGATATCAATGGAGTAAGTTATATAGAAAAATTGAATTCTATTGACTTTTTCTGTTGAACATTTCTATAGAATTGGCACTCTTCGTAGATTATCCGCTCTATTAAAACGATTAAAATGTGATTGGAATTATGCATTTGGGTCTACAATTAATGAATAAATATCTAATTCGTCCTGTCATTCCTTCCCACATTAAGAAAAGAGAATGGTGCAAAAAGTCCCATTAAGGAACCCTTAAACTCGCACGAAATATAATCGAAATGATCAATCAAACACCTGAATCTGCGAGGGGTGACCCGACCCCCGAAACCCGCAAGAACAACACCACAACCTTTTACACGTGAGAAATCCCCCATTACACCAACTGCTCCCTAACCATCCATTCGACACGTTACACCCAATTTCCGATGATGCTCCTCGTGCGCCCGTAATTTTATTGGTCATGCCTGGTGAAAAAAGAAATGAACGCACGGCAGATAGGAAAAATGGAAAATGTGAGAAGTGGGCTATGAAGCACGAGCGAATACAGCCACTCTTGCCGAGATATTAGACAGGTGGAGTGGTTCCCAGGGGAACAAAGGTCCCATTACCCATCACCTTGGCATATCCTGCTCCCGCCATCCACATATCTCCACGTCTATTCGAAATCCTAAAACATTCATGAGAGTGTAAGTGGTTTTTAATACACGTGTATTTAATCATGAGTGTCAGATTTCGATATTGAATGGGTAATTGAGACTAGTGATGACAAGGGGATTTTCGGATTTAATTTGTTTACATGTGGGCTGAGTCGCCAGTCATACGAGAGGCCCTTATGTATTTTTCATTCTCATTTACATTTTTTGCATTTAGTCCTTCATTTCTAAATTTAAATACATATCGTTAATGGAGGAGGTAATCCGATAGTCACAGCGACATGATTCGAATGATAAAGTGGAGTCTTTATAATTTTGAAAATATTATTCGGTGAGACCTCAGGGGTGTTCATGAAAATATGATCCTATCTATAGAAGATGAAAGTTGCCAAATTGTGGGAATCACTCAATTTTAGCTATTCCATTCAATCCGAGATCCTTGTAATCACTTCCCTGGTCTCTTCCATTTGGTATCGATGTCTCGCAGCATATTAATGATTTATAGTTTGTCGACTGAATCAGTTAAACACTATTTAATCAGCCGTTACTCCTGCTAGTAACATAATAATTCAGAGGTAATCACCCACTTTATTGGCGTCAGCAAAATACAGACTTTTTTTTTGTTTCGGAATGGAAACATTGTGTTCGTCAAATCTGAAAATTCGAACTTTTTTTTATCAGGATAACAAATTTTGGTTTGAATATGAATTTGAATGTACAGATGTAACTAAAATATTTATTATAAAATACCAATTGATTTAAAATATTCTTCCCAATGAGAACTTGACCACGTTAAATCATGAGTTTATTGCATCACCTGCTGAGAAAATTTAATAGAATATTGGTTTTATTTTGAAACTAATATTCAGGGAAAATTGAAAAAATTGTAACGTTGGGGAAATGTTGAATTCAATTTAAATACATCGTCATAGACATTCCATTCGGAAATAAATTACTGATTTAGTATCAAAAATATGTTGACTACGCAGTGACGAAAGCAATTTCTTGTTTTCACTTCGCCTGAGCTGCACGAGTTTTTCTCAGGCATGGACGCCGAAATTGCTAATTCATTTAGGAATGAGGAATTCATGTGTGAATTCCCTGGGTTGATTTCTACCGTGCAAGTGAACAAGGCTGCCTCTGATTATTGCGGTAAATGCAATTACACCTAGCGGACAGGACAATTATCATAGGCACGAGCATGTCTTGACGAAAATGCCGGAAGATCGTCGTCAGTGCGGGCCCAACACCCGAGCGAACGAATCATGATCATCCTCTTCTTGATTGTCGTGAGGATTTTAGAAGCCTCCGGTGAGGAGTGCTACTACGATGGGAATGATTTCTGCTTGAGTCCAGATGACATCCTATCTTTCGATCTTCTTCCTGGAACGTTTCTGTTGGATGCGACTAATAGAAACGAAAAAATTGGAACTGAAGCGGCAGTGGAGAATGTCACGGTGGATGGAACGTACGAGGAGGCTCTCAATAAAATGGAGTATCACAGGTACGTTACAGCGAATGATATTAGATCATACAAATATTTATTAAAATTTTATTCCATTATTTTACTTTATATTTTTATTATTATTATCTTTTTATCAATTCTATTTTTATTATTTTATGAAAGGGAGACGAATCATAAGATTCGTCTTATCGCCATAATTTATCTATCTTCATTTTTTTTGGCTTACCGCAGGAAGAGAATGAATGAGTACCTGTGTCACGGTTTCATCGCTGAAGAGATATTCCGCGAGGTGAAATCGACGAGAGTAAAACGCCTCGAAGATCCATCGGCGAATTCAATGCCGGATTTTATCGGAGAGGAAAATGTCACTGTTCACGATATGTTATTATCGGACGAGGGGAGTAGTAAATACAAAGAATGGCTCCAGAGGTAATTCGCGAATTTTCAATTTTTCGTAAAATTTTTTGCGAAGTTCTTCCTTCTCCCTTATCCTGTAGAAAAATTTTTTCCTCGCAGAACGACTACTCTCGATGATGTTTATCGTCACTACATGCCGAAGAAGGTGCATAAGAAAATATCGAAAAAAGGGATTCCCCATAATTTTGAACAGTTCGATGGTGAAGTCACGGGTTATGCAATGCCAGCTCCAATGGCTCCTATCGCTCCGGGTAAAATCGGATCCTTCTACGATGATGGCGAAGGTAGTTATTGCTAAAGATTAGTGGCATCATAATTATTATTACGGATATCCAAGTACTTTAGCTATTTTTTCTCCAGTGAAATGAGTTTCTACTTTTATATTCTAACATCACCGCTTTCTTTCGAGCCCTATTTACCCCTAAGTTCCCGAACATTTTAGAATGATTTTATTATTTAAACTTTGGAGGTCTGAATTTGAATCTCGATATTAAACCTTTAGACAGCATTTTAAAAATCTGGAAAAAATGAGAAAGTTTATTTTTGAAGGAAAATTGATGAAATAATTTATCAACACCAATTTTCCACCAAAAGCAGTTTGTTCGGAATCGTAACAAAGTTACTCATATTCAGAATTTTACCAGAAATCAATTTCATCCCGAAAAAATCGGGTTTCCAAAAGTTGAAACAATCTCAATTATTTATTTATAAACAACGAATGTTCAAAAAAATTATATTTTTGTGCAAAATGTACATTGAATGACGTTGAATATTCATAATTTTTTTTTTCAAATTTTTCTCACGCAATTTAATCGACAAATTTGATGATTGAAAATGGTTGAATCTATAGTTGAGTCTATAGTATGGTCCGTACCAAACTGTAAAAAATACTTGGATATCCTTAAAGTTGTTTAACTAGACTCCAGTTGAGTCCGCGAGTGTAACGGGGAGAAATAAACTTGAAATGCCCAAGAAAAATATAAAAAATTAATCCATGAAATTCTTAGCTCAATAATTTCTTTGAACAATAATCTCTCTTTTGAGTAGGCTATTTCGATCAGTGGCAACCCTGGACATTCGAAAATAATCCCCTCACTTTATGGCACGACCACGATCGCCCCTTAATTAATTCACTTCTCTAAATTTCGACAACACAAAATTAAAAACGGGAAACATTTTAGAGTTTATATCTTCACCAACTGGCCATCACCAATTCAGTCAACCCCCAACGGGCCATCAATACAGCCACCCGCCACCACCGCCGCCACCGTCCTATCATCACCCGTCCCACAGCGACCTAGTTCCAATAATTCATGAAGAACATTATTACGAGGCAGACCATGAAGACGACTCCTGGCACGATGTCTCGTGGAAAGGAAAAGGAGAATTGACGATCACAGACTTCTTCGAAATTGCACTCACTGCCCTGGCATTCCTGGCTTTTGGATTGTTCATTATTCAACTGCTCATGTCCATTACGGTGAACTAAATCGCTCTAGATAATGTTTCTCACTTCGTAATTTATTCAGATAGAATGATTATTGTCGAATATTCCGTCTCGCTTTTGTAGAATGCAGGAACAACAACAGCTACAGTCGTAGCTAATGCAACAATAAGACTCAAGCGAAATGCGTTCTCCTCGAAATTCGGGTATAACAACAACGCGGAACTCAATGAGCTTGCTCATAGAGTACTCAGGTCGATCGAGGCCGCTATGGTGGCAGAACATGACGCCGGACGGTGTTTGAGGTGGACATTATGTCGGGATAATCAGCATTCGAGGAATATGAATACAGCTCAGAAGGTGTGGCTGCCAGTTTGGAGGTAATACAAGAGGCATCGCATATAATAATCGAACTCTATTGGATTTTTGCTTCTAATCGTGTGCGGCGAATAGCGAATTTTTCTGAGTTAACCCGGGGACAAAAAATTAACGTTAGGACAATGTTGAATTTAATTAATTGACTTCAAGTTCGAATACATCGTCATAGAAATTCCTTTCGGAAGCTAATTGCTAATTTATTGCAAATAAATATATTGACGATGTAGTGACGAAAGAAATTTCCCATTTGTTTTAGCAAAAAAAAATAAAATGTGTAAATGTCAAAGAAGTTTCTGCAGAAATCGACAAAAAATCGAAATTTCAATACAATTTCAATAAAAATTCTAATAGAATTTCATCTGGAGAGTGTCAAATATTTCTATTGATTTTTTAAAATCTGACTAGGGGGTGAAAAAATACTTGTAAATCTGTTTTGTTGAATTCCGTCAAGTTTTAATATTTAATTGCTGAATTCCCATTTTTTGTTGAAGTCTGGGAATGAGTTGGTTGTGTGGCCGCATGTTTCGCCAAGGCACCTGGCCTGTCATGTTCGATTCAATCAAGGCCTCGATTCTCGGTCTTGGCGGTGCAAACTGCGATGACCTCTACCCCGGATGTAATCTCGCCGACGAACGGAGGAAAAGACGAAGACGTCGTAGAAAATAAACATCATCCCACATCTCAAGTTCCATTAGCAGAAGCTTTCGGACTCGATGTCAAGGGATTGAATCCGGTGGAACTGGTAAGAGTGAGGCGTAATTCGATCTCTTCGGACTAACGTAAAAAACTCGGGGATTCGCAGGTTCGAGACGTCGTAAGTTGTTCAATATTCCGTTGAAATTTCGATCGTTCAAATTCCGAAATTGCGCCACCTGAGGATATATTTCCAAATGATTACGCGCATTTTCGTAGTTAAACCTGTGGCAATTCCCATACTTTTGCATTTTCTCGTCAAAATGACCTATTGTACACAATGAAGTCCCTTAATTCTGTCGGATCTGACGTTTTGCATTAAAATATTGTGAAGAAAATGCTGACGCTCCCAACCCTAGATCGGTCACCATATGAGGGAAATCCCGGCGCGCGTCGTTTTTCTTCAATAGACCTTTTCATTCTGGAAATCTAGGGGAAATATTTATTTCGTTCATCGAACTAAAAAATCTCCAGAGAAATAACAAAAAATTCAGATAAAGATTGACATTGAAGATGATATACATTTGAGCCTTCAAAAATGATGATTTGTATGTCAATTCGATAAGTGTCCGAAACTTCTAGGAGAATTGACATTGGAAAAAAAGTGTCCAGAAATCTAATGACTCTCAGGATGAAAAGGTTCATTACAATTGACTACCTGACCGGAAAAATTCATAAAAATTTGACTTTATCAATTGCCATGTGTAAAAAATTACAGTAGTTTTTAGAACAACATATTTCTCGAATTTCCTGAAAAAAAAAATTATTTCGAACAGATGAATTATTTTTTCCCCGTGTTAAATGAAATTATCCATCGCGCGTGGTTGCCAGAAACTCGCTAAACGCGCCCGGACAGTGTAGAGTGAATTCGGCAATGCTGGTGCCGAAATAACACGGCGGCAAATCGCCGCGGAGGTGACCAGAGTCACAGGGTTGCGTATGGTGACCAGACTAGGGTTAAAGTATGCCCGAAGATCTTCTAAATTACCTGTTCGAGAGAAATTGCAATCGGTTCTCTACTGAAAAGCCACATAACAGGCGTCTCGTACTTGCCAACCGGAACAGTACCCTTGTACAAAAAATAGTCATCTGCGAAGGGCCGCAGGATATTGCTAATTGGTTCGGTAGAAATTCTAACTGAAGAGTCTGGAGGTTGAATCGATGATAGATTATTGACTATACCATTGAGTGCTGAATTCGGCATCGACTGAAGCTAAGTGATCAGTACGGTATTGATGAATATTTTCAGTTTGTCATAAATACGACATTGAGGATCTCACACTGTTAAAAAATTTCTTGAAATTTCAGTCACAGCGCCATCTAAATTTTCTATGTTGTGAGGCTGAGTTCAATTTCAAATGAAAGCGTTCACTAAATTTCTCATTCATCTTGAAAGTTAACGAAAATTGGGTTTTTCATGTTAAACAAACGTTGATTTTTCAATGAAAGCTTGAATTTCCAAACTCATCATGAAAATTGAGCATCACATACAATTCAATTGTCAATAGTTTAACAATTCAGAAACGTTGTTGCCTGAATTTTAAAATTTTCCAAGGTTTTTCGTGCCGTATAGACCTGAAAATCGAGAATTACTTGAATATTCAAGAAATTGACTGATTCGGCAATGAAAAAATATACAGAAATTTCATGTAACTTTGTCGTTGTTAAAAATTTGAAGCTTTTTCACTTGAAAGTTCAAAAGTAATTTTTTAACAGTGCATTTAACTGGGGGTTCATTTATTGAAATCCCCATGTCGTGTTCAGATATACCTTGAAGAAATAAACTAGCATGACTATGCCATCAGTTTCTCTCATGGCTGCTTCTTGAGATGAATAATCGCTTTTGAAGTGAACTGCGTGTAGCTCCATTGGCTGACTGCAGTGATTAAATTGTGAGCTTTAGTATTCGAGAATAAAACAATTACAATGAATAATCACCTTCCTCCGTCAATGAAATGCTCACTCCCCATCATTTCAGTGGGTCCCCAATGAAAATGTATCTGTGAAAATGTGTAATCGCCCCGCAACGGTCCGGAGGACAAATGCGGTGGGGATTTCTGCCAATTTCCGCACACAACAACGTTTTTTCCGGTATTTGTCATCTTTAATTTCTTAGGGGTAATTTCGTAATTGTACCAGTCTAATGATTTCAAGTTTACCACCGTCATTTTGCTTATGTTTAAATCAATCGGAGACCTCGGCTCATTGCCAGTAACTCGTTCAGAATCAATAATCTCCATTTTTACGTGAATTTTTACAAATTGTGCCAAATTGTGCCATTCACTATTAATTTAGACGCTTTAACATAATTACCAATTAAAAAAAAAATCAGTTGTTGTTGAAACAAGAATTTGGCGCTAAAAGAATTATTTTACGAGCCATTTTCGATTTTTGGGAGAAAGAATTTTGACATTTTAGAATTTTCCAATTCAATGAAGTTTGAAGTTTGGTACAGAATAAAAAAAGAAGATTGGAGAAATATTATTACTGTGATGATCACTCAATACTTTATTAATATTTACAGACAGTATCAAAGTATAAAATGTTACATAAATTTCAATTACAAGATCGTTGAGCTTGTACTGAGGTAGAAGGTTAACAATAATTGTAACAATTTTTGTATTTGTTCTTACACAACTCTCTCAGACAAATGATTTTTAATTTAGTATCACAATAACACTTCTGTAACGACACTCATATTTTTCCATTCGTTTGCTCCGAGGTAGTAGCAGAACCCCCTCTAACTTTCTCATACAACATATCGAGTATCTCATACCCATGCTGGCTTAAAAGTCTTTTGAAGTATTTCGTTTTCTTTCCGGTATCCTTGAAACACAAATCATGCAATTTTTCAAGTATATCAATTTCTGTTCCCCGCAAGATCTTACACAAGCTCTTCGGCGTGAAAATTTGGTCCTCAGATAATAAATGTTTCAGGCGATTTTGTTCATTGAAACAAATTTCATGAAAGTTTCTGAGCATAGAAGCAGCGTTACCCCCTGCCATGAACAGAATTTTGGACAAATGCTTCGGCTTGAAACCCGCAACCCTAAAATCATTCAGAATTTCCGATCTACCTCCCTCCCTACTAAAACAAACTTTATGAAAATCTCCGAAGGCAGTACGAATTTGAGCCTTCGCCCCACGCAAAACGATCGATAAATATTTCGGTGTGAAGCCCTCCTCCAAAAAATCACTTAAATATTTCTTTGTATATTCTACAAAACAGAATTTATGGAGTTTTCTGGCAGTACCAGCTGATCCATACAACATGCTACACAAATCATCCGGCTTAAAACCCGCTTCCAAGAAGTCTTGCAAAAGTTTCGTCCTTTCCCTTTCTGCATCAAAACAGAGACCATGAAATTTCGTAAACTTAATGCGAGCACGAGCCCCGGCTCCATACAACAGGCTGGCCAAGTCACTTGGCTTAAACCCTGCGGTATAGAAATCCTCTAATTCGTCTTTCTTTCCTTTCTTAGACCAAAAGCAACAGAGATACAATTGTCTCAGAGCAAATTTTGCTCTAGATCCCGCGCCCCTCAAAATACCGAATAACTCGTCAGTTGTAAAATTCTCTTCGTCGTTCCCCTGAGTCAAGAATTTCAAAGGATTCTTCAGTGCGTATTTATTGAAACAAGCCTTATACAGGTCTTTGAACGCTTTAGGCGCATGAGTTCCTGCACCTTGGAGAGCACCGACGATGTGCTTCAAACATACATCGTTCTTTCGAAAATGATACAAATAGTGTATTTCGTTTCGTTTATCAAACCAAAGATAATGCAAGTCCTTGAACATTCTCGGTGCATGAGCTCCCGCCCCATTGAAAATCCCCACCACGTCAGCTAGCTTTGTTCCCTTGCTTTCCATTTGCCTCAAATACTTAGTTTTTCTCCCCTCACCGTCAAAACAAAAATCATACAAATCTCTGAAAGCCCTAGGTGCTTTAGCCCCTGCACCGACCAAAACACGAGCAATATCGGGTAGACCCACTCCCTCTTGTTGTAGTTTCTGCAAGCACTGTGTCTTACTTCCTTCTGCATCAAACCAAAAGTTGTACAGATCTTTGAAAGCCTTCGGAGCACTGGACCCTGCCTCTCTCAAAATACTCGACATATTAGAGAAATCCATCCCTTCACTTCTAAGGTTCCTCAGACATTGCGTTCTCTTTCCTCTTCCATCAAAACATAGATCGTACAATTCCTTGAAAGCTTTCAGTGCTCTGACCCCCGCTCCGTTAAGAGTAACAGCAACGTTAGATAGACTTATCCCTTTTCTATCCAAAACTTTGAAATGTTGGGTTTTGTTGCCATGTGCATCGAACCAAAGGTTATACAAGTCTTTGAAAGCCTTGGGAGCGTCCGCACCTGCTCCATGCAGAATGTTCGACATAGTAGTTGAACTGATCCCGGCCTCTTCGAGGGTCACCGAGTACTTGGTTTTCTTTCCACCTTTATCGAACCACAGATCATACAGGTCTCTGAAAGCTTTGGGAGCTCTGACCCCGGCACCGTTCAAAATACTAGACATATTTGCCAGAGTTATGCCCGCCTTTTCTAGAACCAGCAAGTAGTGTCTTTTGTTGCCGTCTGTATCAAACCAAAGATTGTACAATTCTTTGAAAGCCTTAGGAGCATTGGATCCCGCACTCCGCAGAATACTGGAAATGTTAGCGAAGTCTATGTCCTCTTCCTCCAGAGTTTTCAAATACTGACTTTTGTGTCCTTCCGCGTCGAACCATAAATCGTACAGATCTCTGAAGGCTTTAGGAGATTTGATTCCCGCTCCGTTCAGAATACCCGATATGTTAGAAAGATCCACCCCCTTGTCGTTTAAGGCCTCTAAATATAGAGTCTTCGTCCCGTCCTTATTGAACCAAAGATCGTACAAGTCTCTGAAAGCTTCCGGGGCTTTGGATCCTGAGCCATGGAGAATACTCGACATATTAGCCACACCGATTCCTCCCTCTTCTAGAGTCTTCAAATACTGTGTT